TGTAAATCGTATTGAAACAAACAAATTACAGTTAAGATTTATAGTTTAAAAATATTATTAACCTTTCACTGATCTACCAAGATGATCATTATGATATAAAGCATAGGCGTCGAAACCGCGGGGGGGGGGGGGGGGTCTAGGGGAGGTTACACCACCCCACCCCCAACACTTTTTTGCAAAGATATACATAATATAGGCCTTTTGGTAACATTTCTTTTTTACTCCCAACCGGTTAATTCAGAAATTAGAACATGTCAATAATTACATTGTCTCCTAATTCCACGTAATTGCTAGAGAATCGCGAAGGTTGGGTGGTCCCTCGTTTTTTTCCGAAGGTAGGTTTATTACCATTAATCTATGATAGAAGTTATGATAAATGGTCGGTCTATCCCCACCTTCCCTTTTAATTAACGAATAACTCCGACCCCCCCCCCTCCCCAATGCCCCAACACACATATGTGTATTAAATATGTTTTTGTGAATAGAAAAAAAAAATTATGTCAAGTTTTTTCCCCGAAAATTTTAGCTTTTGGCTTCTTGATAAGGGGGAAAATATCAATATTATCTCTCAATTAAAACTATCGAAAATTGTAACATATGTTGCAAAGAAGAGGTCTTTTGGTAACATTGTGTAAATTAACAGCTCATATACGGACTGCTGAGAAACAAGAAATTGTCGCTAATACTTGCAATGTTCAAAATCAAAAGCATCACAACAAACTTAAGAAGTTCTTAGGACAAGCTTTATGTTGTCCTAAAGTTAAGAAAAACTTAAGCAAGTTCCTAAATTTAGGAAAGCTTCGAGAAACTGACTTAAGACTAGGATGTAGGACACACCGTAGTCCTAAGATAGCTTCGTGAACATGCCTGCAGATGTATACACATTAAGAAACGGGGTAGGATTAACAGATAATCCGTGTACAGTAAACCGGCTGGTCAGACAATAGACCTTAATTAGGTGTCCCCCGTCCCCGGTTAACTAACAGGAAACTATACATACACAACGTACACTGACAGATTTTAATGATCAATTATTTAAAAAAAAGATTAAATTTAACGCAAGCATATAACAAATCAAAAATTATGATTCATCGTAAAAAGTCAATTATTTTGATACCCATTATGATACAAAAGGAATTGAAACTGAATATGATATTCTAAAAAAAGTTTTTGTAAACGTAATTAACCAGGTAACTCTTACTCGAGGATTGTTACTAAATTGTTGACACAGAAACCGTTAATATCCGCAGTATATTAAAAATAATAGTAGAATCTGTTTTTTTCCTCTTTCTTTTTCGATGATAGACTTTTGTGTTTTATCTATAATTAATTTATCTTCAATCATGATTTAATGCTTACATTTCGAAAATTTTCGAATAACACTAACAGAGCGAAGAACTCAATCACACTACATCAAACTAAAATCCGAACTCTGTGTAGAAATATATATATTAATGTGTTAAGATCCAAAAATAAAATTGTTTATATTTTGATTAATAAACCAATTCAAGACGTTTGGAAATGTTCAACAAAATTCTAGTAAAAACCTTAACAAGTCCAATCAAATTTTGAAAAAAAATAAAGGTTAAATATTTAATATTTTCCATATTTAATCAGGAGCGGCGATAGCGTAATGGATAGGGCGTTTGCATTCGAAACCTAAGGTCATGGGTTCGCGCCCCCACTGCGGCGATTTTTTTTTTTTTTTTTTTTTTGATTTTGAATTTCGGTCTTTTTCATTATTTTTACCAAATCAAGATAAAACGAACTCTACATTTATAATAATGATAACAAATCACTATAAAAATAATTTTTCACCCATATAAACAATATAATCGACTGCGTAATGTGACTTAATGGTGGCTTAATGGTAGCTTAATGGAGTTTGGACATTAAGTACCTGTAAGTCTACCTTAATGGTGGCTTAATGGTGACTTAATGGTGGTCTAAAAGTAACCATTAAGAACCTGTAAGGCACCATTAAGTAACCATTAAGCTACCATTAAGTTAGAAATTTGGCTTAATGGTGGCTTAATGGTTACTTAATGGAAGCTTACTGGTGGCTTATAGGTGCTTAATGGTGGCTTAATGGTGGTTTAAAGGCGGCCTTTAAGCCACCATTAAGCACCTATAAGCTACCATTAAGTCAAGCTTAATGGGAGCATTTCATCTTGTGAAAGTTGAAGGTCAGATGTCTCAAATGCATGATAAACATGTTTGGTAAATCAACTATTACATACGTTACTATGGTAACAAAGTATTCAAAAGTAAAAAAAAAATTCATTGAATTTTATATAGTTTATACACGTAAAAATATAAAGCAATTATAGGATGAAATGTGACAAATTTTCCTCATAACTAGTGATCAATTTTATAAGATGTTGGTGTGCTCCAAGTTTTCCCATTTGATAAAATTCAGATTAGATTCTTTAAATAGAGCGTTGTTATGGAAATAAGCAGAAAATATATGCTTAAAAACCTGAAAAATATTTTCTTTCCTTGGATACGTACCCTTAAATGTAGATTCCCAAAACTTTTATGATTGATATTTATTAACAGCTAACTTGACTTTTAATTTTCACTATCATCCAATCTCCAAGTGGATGCAAGAAGTTAGCTCACAGGGTTTAATATTTATATAAAGTTCACAAAATCGAACATTTTCCCTTCTTGGTAACCATAGCAACAGTGTTGTTTTCTTCATCAAATTTTATCAATATATGATTTCAACTTCAGTTCTAACAGATAAGTACTATTCAAGCTGAGTCCTTAAATTTGTTTCTTGATTAATTGGCAATTTAATTCTTAATGCAGCGAAAAATATTTCACTTTTAAGCACTGGTACTTTGTTTCCATGGTAACACTGCACAGTAACAATTATACCCAATTTTTCTTATGGTTTTGGTGTTGCAAGGTCCTAAGGATGCATATTTGCCAGTCTTGAATTTTCATGATTTTCCTCAAGACAGTAGCATCAACCCAATCTTCGTTACTGGTTTTGCATGGTTACACTGTGTTACCATGGCAACCATAAAAGTTATTTATAGAATAATATGGCTTTTACTTATATACTTAAGGTCAAACATTTTCATTGTTTTTCTTAGTTTGTTGATTGAGTTTGAGCATGTAACACCTACCATTAGTGAATACGGAGTGTTTTTCAGCATATTTCAGCATTTTTTAATGTATTCCAAATGTACCCTTGGTTACCACTTACTTAGAGATATATTCTAAACAGTTTCTTTACAGTATAAGTGACATCAAGGTGTCATGTTTTTGTGAGAATGGTTTGTTTGCTTTTTCTAGTTTTTATTAAGCCATAGTCAAGATTTAAAGTGGCTGAAAATCTCGATTTTTCAAACTTTACCGGCTGTTGCCATAGCAACCGAGATGCATAGCAACGAAATTTTGTTTGATATTTGTTTCTGGTGTCAAGTACTAAGCATGGGTGAAGTTTCATCAAAATCGGTGACCATGCGTGGCAACAAAGTTTAAGTGGTTACAGAGAATGGCTATTAAATATTGTAAACCAACTTTTATTTGCAACCGTGTTTCGCAAACTTCTTGTACTCGAGTTTGTTTATGCTGCGAAGAAATATTCTAACCTATAATGGGGGTAGGGGGCAATTTTGGAGAATGTTGCTTCAGTTGCGAAAAAATAAAAGCCCCCCCCCCTCCAGTCCCTAAAAAGTAGGTAAAAAAAATTGTTCATAAACTAGAATCGGTCAAATGTTGCTTTATTTGCGAAAAAAAATAGTTGCTGCAGATGGATTTCTAGCGAGATATCGCGAATGATAGAGGTTTACAGCAGTTTAAATGTTCTGCTAATTCTGTCTGTTAATGCGGATGCGTTCAAAATTCCGGTGAACCTTATTTGTTAGATGCGATAAAGTAAAAAGACTATAAAGTAAAGAGAAATATACATATGTTCTGTAGTAAAATAAAAACCCAGGTATTCGTCCTCCGTATAAATTGTGAGGGTGCTTAATGTCTTTGAATTACTAAAACAAATTTAAAAGAAAAAGGAAATTAGACTGATCTAAAGTTCAATTAATCTAATTTATTAAGAATATTTATGAACAATTGAACACTAAAATAATTTTGAAGTATCACATCGTTTTTCTGGCAAAAACTTTCAAAATTATCATGTTGTAAAAGCATTTTTTTTTTCAAGTTTTTTTCAAGTTTATTGTTTGGAAATAAATCTTAAGAAACTATTTTGTGGGATTCTTGTGAATTTAATAGCAAAAACAAAAATTATTAAACAGCTTTACGGACTTTTAAAATTCCAAGCTGATAAAAATTGAACGGTGTCTTTTAGAACACCGTTCATATAGGGCTATTTTTGCCCTGTGAATTTTTGAGGAAGTAAAATTGCTTAGTTTTAATATATTTTTTCCTGCTCCGATACGTAGCTCACTGTGGCCGTTGCAACTGTTGTTTACAACGTTGTTTGAGGTGTTGATTGTGACGTCACAATGCCGCTGCACGTGCATTGACCCTCCGGTGAATACGGCCTCAAATCCAGTGAATATGTAGTGTTATGAACTGTTTGCGCTTGTATAGATTATGTAGGGAATATAAATAGACTATATAATAAAAGCACATACTGACCGTGCACTGAAGTCCATAATAGTTATATTATATAATCACTCAAAGTGAATGCACTGACACAGTCCTAACTGAACAGACTCGGCTGTCATTACGTCACAGTGGTTAAAACAAGCTTCTTATTTTATGACGTCACGTTCTACATAACTTTGGTGCAACCCAACGGTGTGTCGTGCGATATCATTTTACGCGGACGCGCTTTCGCGTTGATATCACAAAAGGTGACATTCTTTCAGCCCATGAAAATTACGAAAATAATCTTCTTATATAATATTGCATTATGACGTTATGGTCTATCTATTTTTCAATATTTTGTAAAATGAAAAAATTGCATACTTTGATCCAACCTATGTGACAAAACTTTTAAAATTTTAGATCTAGAAAAGCGCTTATGTTTTTTTTAACTTGCGCAAAATTCTTCTGATGTGCTGAAAGAAAATAGGAAAGTCTGATATTATAATTGCTCCAAAGACAAGGGACATAATAATGAGTCCAAGAGTTCCCATGACCGCAGACGTTTGCCGCTCATCCGGAGCACTGACCCGAAGCCTGACACTGGAAGATAAATTTCTGACGTTTACAACCAACTGGTTTCTGATTTCTGTGAGCTTTATCTCCAGGTCTTTGAACTGTTGCAGAAGGTTGCTTTCATTACTCCAAAAGTTTACCTTGTCGAAATAATCGCAAGCACAAGGGCAGGATTCTCCTAAAAAAAATAATAGAATCTTAATTTTATTGTTTCTCATATTATGCGGTTTATGTTACATAAATAAATTATTTTAACGTGATGCTGGTGTTATTATAAACAATGCCGGTAAGTAAAATTATGACCAATTTTTGCTTTTGGATAAGGACGCGTGATTTGAGCAACAGTTCCACAATGGAATATACTGAAAGGAAAAAGAAACGCAAAGGAACAAAATGCGCAAAATATTTTTTCTGCGTGGCCAAAAATTATGAACACTGGTCAGGGATGTATCTTCGTAAATTTGCACGGGAATAGGTGTTCAAAACTACCCAAACGTGAAATGTATGACGTCATAACATGTAGGAAATTGCATGGTAAAAAGTCAAAACACGTGCATATTGATGATGAGAGTTTTGTAAACACAATTTGTTGTACCAAACTGATGCAGTGGAGATATTGACATTGTTTTTGCATATTTGAAGTCAGGATGATTTTTTGCATTCAATATACGGCTGATGTTTCAGTGGGTCTAGTAATTGAATTGCATAAGTGAATAAAAAGGCAGCACCACGTTGCTCTGCAGTTTGGTTTTAGCTTTTCCAGCAAAGAACATTTTTCAGTTGCTAAAGAGTAACGTGAAAAGTTTCCAACCAACCATGACGGTGACGTTGGTGCCAGATAACTTCACATTGAGACCATCATGCCACCTCTGTAATCGTCAAGACCTTAACAATGAGAGCGAGAGTAATAAATGTAGGCAATAAAAATCGTAACATTCGCTAACTGACGGAAAACAAAAACTTTTTGACCCATGAGCTTGGCAACTTTACTTCGGTATCACCCTTACTCGCGCACTTATGTGTCCTTCTTCAAGCATGTTCTACCTGGGAAAAAGGAGTCAGTGTCTGTCTATACTTTTTATCAAATCAACTGAATTCTGTTAATTTCATCTTTTATCCTCAATCTAAAATCTGGGGGATTAATTGAACATTCAAGTTTGCGGGCTTTAGAATGCACTAGCATCTCACGACCACCGTTGGACTTCCTGGTAAGAAGGGTTGAATAGTATACTTATCAGAAGGTAAATGCTTTGAAGAACTCTGCTGTTATTGATGAGAAACCTTTTAAGGGAGATGATGAGATTTTTATTTTCAATGTAGGGGGCGTACCGTCATATGAATGAAACATATGGAGATAATGAACTGCACCCAAGATCAAAAGTCCATAAACAATACAAAATAGGAGCAGAGTAAACACGTACCTCCAAAAATCAGAGATGGAATTAGGTGCTATGGAGGAGAGAGCATCCCCTGCCGACTCAAATACTCATTAATCAGTCAAAATCAAATAAGCTTTTGGTAACATACTGATTAAAGATGAATTGCAATGATTGATAAGAATATTGGAAAATACGTTCGAAATCAAAGCTCTTATTTACTACTAAGCATTTCTTTTTCATTTCAGTATATATTGAGAGAACGAATATTAATGTTTCATTAAACAATACTAATCGGAAAGAGAGCAACACAGTCCTCTAAAATATCAGAAGTCGAATCAGGTGCCATTGAGGACTGAGCATCCTTTGTCTACCGGTCACACTCGCGGTGTGCACCTCATCTTTATTGGTAAATACAAAACATCTTTGATAATTCAGTATGTAAATGTGGCCTACTCATACAGCTGTTTAAAAAGGTTCCAGTTGTTTCGGTATCTGTTGTTACCAATGTACTTATACCTTTTGATGAATCTGTTGAAACTATCGATGTCACCTTGGTTGTTTCTAGGGTTGCACCAATTGATGTTTCTGTTGTTTCTATGGCTGTGCCATTGGATGTTTCTGTTGTTTCTATGACTGTAGTATTGGATGTTTCTGTTGTTTCTATAACTGTGGCATTGAATGTTTCTGTTGTTTCTATGGCTGTTCCATTGGATGCCTCTGTTGTTTTTATGATAGTAGTATTGGGTGTTTCTGTTGTTTCTATAACTGTGGCATTGAATGTTTCTGTTGTTTCTATGGCTGTGCCATTGGATGTTTCTGTTGTTTCTATAACTGTGGCATTGAATGTTTCTGTTGTTTCTATAATTGTGCCATTGGATGTTTTTGTTGTTTCTATGACTGTGGCATTGAATGTTTCTGTTGTTTCTATGTCTGTAGTATTGGATGTTTCTGTTGTTTCTATAAGTGTGTCATTGGATGTTTCTGTTGTTTCTATGACTGTGGCATTGAATGTTTCTGTTGTTTCTATGGCTGTTCCATTGGATGCCTCTGTTGTTTCTATGACAGTAGTATTGGGTGTTTCTGTTGTTTCTATGGCTGTACCTGTTGATTCTATGACTGTACCATTGAATTTTTCAGTTGTTTCTATGGCTGTACTATTGAATGTTTCTGTTGTTTCTATAACTGTGACATTGAATGTTTCTTTTGTTTCTATGATTGTAATATTGGCTGTTTCTGTTGCTTTTACGGTTGTGACCTCTGATGTGTCAGTTGTTTGTATTGTTGTCGCTGTTGGTGGTTCCGAATGTTCTATTGCTGTGTCGTTTGATATTTCTGTTGATGTTACCTCTGTAATTTTAGAAATCCCAGTTTTACAAGTTTATTTTAATGAACTGACTAAGAAGTAGTTAATACGGAAATAGATGTACTGTGTTCGAAACCATTTCTTAAAAATGTTAACTTGTAATCGATATTACCCAATTTTTAATTTACATAGTCACAGTCGTCACAGAGTTAAATGCAATTGTTTTCATCCAAAGCAAAATCACATATAAATGTACACGCATTTTATGCGTATATGTTAAATACACATTCAACTTTCTTTTGGTTTACCTGCTAATTACATTTACTTACCTGTTCCCAAATCTTCGAGAAGCAATTCCTGGCACTGGGACTCTCCTTAAATAAATTAATAATTAAAGACTTGTTAATAGCGCTTGTTATAATGCAACAAGTCACAAGTTTATATAATTCATACAATTATAAAGTATGTCTTTTGTGCATTACTAGTATTGTTATTCTAACATCTCCAGTAAAAGCTTTCTGAGTTTCTTTGTTTCAAAGCATATTTTGAGTCCTGCTACTTAAAAAACACGATTGTCTAAATTTCTTATATTAACAAGTATGGGGATAGCTAAAAGTTATCAAACTCAAACTCCATATAAACAACACAAATTGATGGCAGACAAAACACGGAACTCTACAAACATCAGAGTTGGGTTGGTTCCAGTGTCATGGAGGAGTAAGCATCATCTGGCGACAAGTCACAACCTCTGTGTGCATCTTATCATTATCGGGAAAGTGTTAATAAGAAATGTAGATAATTCAGTGTGTAAATAAAGACCAGATTATATGAATTTAAGAGGCAGTCCACTGAAAATCAGGCAATGGGTGGCACATGGCATGTCATGGATTTTTATTTTTTGCATATAGACTTATTTAAGCAAGTGTTTACACATGACAACATCAAAAAAAAATTTAGTGCTCCACTAGTCCTATTTTTGGTAATTGCTCAATTTTAAGTGCAAAAAGGTCAACATGGGGGTAAAAAAAATTACTACGTTTTTATTTTGTTTTATATGTACCAGATACGCAAAACCTGGATGTGTCTATCAATATTATTTATACCATAGACTCTTATCTTTAATTTTAGTAATGAATAAGACTCCAATTTATATTTCTTTAGAAAAAAATATGTGGTCCAAAACTGAGTTTAGCAAGTAACTTTTTGAATTCATTATCCAATTTTCATTACGTTATAAAACCCAATACATTTCAATGACAGATTTTTTTCTCATGTTATTATGAATACAAAGTACAAACTTTTGAGTCACGCAATAAAATCAGTGGGCACCCTTATATTGAGAGAAATAAAAGGAGTCAAATTTACCTGTGTTTTACAATTTTTCACAATTAAACCGATCCCGACCGGAATTATATAAAGAAGGAAATACTATAATTGTAATGTTAAATTTGGCTCTTTTGTTGTAATATGGCCAAAAAATTACTTGATTTATTTTTGTACATGTCTTATGGGTGGCAGTTGTCTTTAGTTTTATAACTTTACACATTTTGCATTATTTTCAATCGGGATCGGTTTTATTTCAATCGGGATCGGTTTTTACCGTAAAACTGGAAATATTCTGCATTTAATGTATCTGAAAAAAATATGCTTGTCTTTTATTTCTGTTCAGTTAGTCAACTGTTTTAAAATTATTTTATCCATGGATTCAAATGTTTATACAATTTATTTAAAATACTAATGTCTTTTACGTACATGAAGATTACAATCATATATAACATCTGTACAATTTCTTGATACTCGGTATTAAAAAAACAAGTATTTGTACATGCATTATGCAACAACTGAGAGTAAACAGCTTATCTTTATTAAATATCTTATTTCCAACTAAAGTTTTTTTTAAATTCTCTCGTGAATTAAAGAGTTCAATTCTATCATTGGCGAAAATATACTTGCACTACCTAAATGCAGAAAATATTTAAATGTGCACAGTCTCGGCTTTATCCAAATTTTTTAAACCTTTCATCTATAAAAGCCGTTTCCCCTATATTTTCATCTTATAAAATTTAATTTTATAGTATGTGATTGTTTCAATCACCAAATTTAACCAACAAAAAAACCCAAACAAAAACAATACAAAACAAAAAATACGCCCACGAAATCTTCCGTTTTAGTGGCAAATTGAAGTGGGGAGTTCAACAGTAATTTTCCTCAATAAATATTCTTTTAATCTTATTTTTCACTCTTTTAATAAAATATTTTTAATCGTACCGCGGATCGTTTACTTTGGTTTGACTGCATAGATAAATATAATCAAGTGTTATTTTGTGTGTGTGTGTGTGTGTGTGTGTATGTGTTTACAAATATCATGAAATAAGTATCTCAACTCCGTTGACTTGAATTAAATGTTGTGTAAATCTAAAATATTCATCTTTCCTTGATAATCAGAAGAAAATAATTAAAATCTTTTCACATCCCAATTTTATAAGAAATATTCAATATAAACAATTAATTATTTGTACGCATAGCCTAGTAAATCAGTTTAAAAAATTAGTTCTCGGACATGTACAAAATTACTTTTAGGAGACGTCGCCCGTGAAAAAAAATACATTTTATATAAAAATATATGATTATTTAACATGTAGGATAATGCACTCTGAAAAGTACTTGAACAGAAAAAGAGAAATTATTTATGTTTAATCGTTTTATTTGCGCTTTTATGCAAAGAATTTACAAACTTCTTTGGAAAACTTGTAACTATTTAATTGTGACGCAATATTAGTCAGGTATATGACGTCACTGATACATCAATGGAAACGTGGATTCAACCTGAATAATACTGCCAATCTTAATCTAAATATTACGTTTGGAGGCGAAAATGAATTCTATTTTGAAAATAAAGTAGTAATTTTTTGTTAAATAATTTTATTTTGTGTATATATTCTAAATATTTCACTAGGATTTCGATAGTAAGGTGTTTAGCAGATTTACCGATGCCACGGGAGATAACTCTTACATCGCAAAATTTCATAAAAACGTCTCTGTATTTTGACAGAAAACTACTATCAAAGTGTTTTGCCCACCAATTTTATTTTTGAAACTGAAAGACGAAATATTTCTAGATTTAGTTCAGCATGAATTATAGTCCTGTTAAATAAGTATTGGAAATAACAGTTCGTTGTTTCTGACCTAAATTCAATGGTTTATATAGGGGAATTCAAAAACACGAAACAAAAGGATATTTTACTAAATAAGCAATTTTAAAACAAATCTTCGATTACATTATTCCATTTGGACTACATTGATATTGTTTTCAATAAAATATCAAATATTCGTCACATTCGATGTGCCGCCTAATAATACAACCCTGCCTGGTTTTTCGGCGGACTACCTCTTAAAATATCACACAGGATTTGACATAATGATGGTTGCTATTTGTTGACAGGTCAATGTATCTATTGATAACAACTTGGAAAAAGATTACTTTAAACGATGCTGTTGATATTCTTACTTCATTTCTTTGTCAATAGCTTACTTTGTTTAAGAAATCTTTTGCATGTATAGAATGAACTGGTAGACGTTAATCCCATACTCGTACATGCGATGAAAGGGTATACTGCTATGTATGGCACGCCAAATTCACAAAAATGAGATAAACTTGTTTCACAATTGATAAATTAGGTTTATCGACTGTAAACTATAGTTTACAAACCTTAAACTATAGTTAACGATTCGTTAAGTATAGTTTTCATCTGTAAAACTATATTTAACGGTTGTTAACTATAGTTTACGAATGCTAATCTAAGTTTATCTGTCTGTAATAAGCGTTAACAATAGATTTTGTTGATAAACATAGATTCACGTTTGTAAACTATAGTTTACAATCCTAAACTATAGTTAAGAGTTGTTAATCATAGTTTCACAAATCGTGAAACTATATTTATCAGATCGTTAACTATAGTTAACGGTTTGTAAACTATAGTTTACAAATCGTGAATCTGTATTTATCAGATAATCTATGTTCTGCAATCGCAAATGATTGTTTTCGGTGTTAAGTATAGTTTACGGTTGTGAAACATAGATTATCGCGTTAACTATGGTTTACGGATGTAAAATATAGATTAACGTTGTTAACTATAGTTTACAGTCCGTAAACTATAGTTTACAACCGATAAACCTAGTTTATCAACTGTGAAACTATGTTTAGCTCATTTTTGTGAATTTGGCGTGCCATAGCTATGCATCAGTAGGTAAAGTGGACAAAAGAAAAAGTGGAATCATCATGCTAGTAAAATTTCTGTCTAGGTAATGATTCATGTCTTTTTCTGGTAACTGTCTAATTATTAAACATGCCAGACTCTTTGGTGTCTATATGTCAAGTTCAGTCGGGTATATCAAGTCGACATTGAATTATAGAAAACACTAAAATTGAAAATTGATAACACGTCGCCCCGTGCAGACCTTACTTTTTATTCATATTTAGCAGAATTTGTGCAAAATCTTATGCGTGAAAAGAAGGAAACACTTGTTGTGGCTTTCGCATTTAGATATATCGACGACGTATTATGAATTAACAATGTTTACATTTGCTGTGTTTTTCTACTAATCCAACTGTGAAATTGATTTGAAAACCATTTTTGTATATATACACGGAGAAACTCGCGCGTAGGTGACTTTACAATCAAGCTACGCGACGTTTGTACAAAGGAAACGATATAGGGCAGCGAAAATTCAATTATTGGGTATATTTTTCGTGCTTGCAAAGATGTAAAATGTAAATATAAGGAATGTATTTCAGTTCAATGTGAATTAGTTGTGTATAAATTACATAGACTTGCACGTAGGCATATCTTGCACGAAGCGCTAACACGCTAAATGAAGTATGCCTAAGTGGCAAGTCTGTGTAATTTACACACCAATAATTTACAAAAAAACCCCTAAAAATATTCCTGAAATGGTAATTTCCATTATTCCATACGATATATCCTAATGAGTGTGATATAAAAGATCCCACAAAGTCTGATACATGTGTTTCATATTTGGACATTTTACTTGAAAAAGATGTTAATGGTAATTACAAATAACAAACAAGTATGATAAACGTGATGACTTTAACTTTTCTATCGTCAACATTCCTTACTTATGCAGCAGTGTACCTTCCTCACCTGCATACGGAGTTTATATCTCTCAGCTGATTCGATTTGCAAGAGCATACTCTACGTATGAAGAATTCCTAATACGAGGTTAATTATTGACAAACGAGTTGATGGAAGAAGAAGTTTAAGGTCTTCATTGCGTAAGTTTTATGGTCCATACATTTACCTTGTCAGCAAATACAATTTATCATTGAGTCAAATGCTGACGGACGCTTTTCATA